AGCCTAAGTGCATGGTGTTTATAAAGAATACAGCAGCGTACAGTAATGTCCTAGGCCTTCACATTCACTCGCTGCTTACCGATTCGCCCACTGCAGCTTCCTTGCATACTCCATTCATGCTAAGCACCCTGTAAAGGTGTACCATGTTTTATTTACTGTTTTTACCCTTGACAGTTAGGCACACAAATACATATCACTGTGTTATAACTGCTGAAGTATTCCATATAATAACATGCTATCCAGTCTGTAGCCTGGAAAAATAGGCCATACCATATAGCCTAGTGTACAGCAGCCCATTTGCCTAGGTGTGAGTACATTCTGTGGTATTCACACAACTACAAAACCACCTAAGGACACATTTTTCAGAATATATCCCCATCATTATGCAATACATAACTACATATATATACATATATTTATATGTGCCTAACTATATGTATATATTATTATATTACATATTATTATATTATATATACTATATAATAATATATAATACATATTATACATATTGCATATTATTATAATATATATTATATATATATATATAATGGAGAAGTTTACTGACCTCACAGCTTCACCTTTTTTATTATTATAAGGTTTCATTTTGTCATGATCCTCTGTCTCAGCCTCTGGAATAGCTGGGACAATGAGCACATGTCACCATGCCTGGCTTTTAGGATGGTCCAGGAATCAAACCTGGACCTCCAAAGTAGCCTTGGCTTGCTGGTAAGCAGCATCAACCACTGTCAGGCCTGTGTTTGAGTGCATTCTGTTGCTATTAACAGAATTACTGGAGTCTGGGTAATCTATAAATACAGTGCTTATTCAGCTCGCAGTTTGGAAGTCCTCAGACAGGAGCTACACCTGGTGAGATCTTCTAGCTGATGGGTCATACGGTGGAGGGCAGGAGCTTGAGCAGAGCAGAGCATGTATCTGTGACCATGTGTCTCTGTCTCATTCTCTCTCCTTATAAACTCATTAGGACTCAATCATGCAGACCTCGCTCTGATCTGAATCTCTCCCCAAAGGCCCCACCTTTCAATACCATAGCCAGATTACACCTCCTTTTAATAACTTCACAATATCATCACATTTCAACACCTCAACTTTTGGAGACACATTCAAACCACAGCTGCCTGCATTTTAAAAAAAAAAAAAAAAAAAAAAAGGTTAAAAAGTAAAAACATAATAGATTTTTTAAGATAGAGAAGTTTGTATAACAGGATATAAAGAAACTATTTTGAACAGCTATATGATGTGTTTGTGTTTGAAGCTAAGTGTTATCACAAAAGAGTCAAAAAGTTAAAAAAAAATTAAGCTTATGAAGTAAAAATGTTATAGTAAGCTAAGATTATTTTATTATTGAAGAAACAATTTTTATATATATTTAATGTAGCCTAAGTGCATGGTGTTTATAAAGAATACAGCAGCGTACAGTAATGTCCTAGGCCTTCACATTCACTCGCTGCTTACCGATTCGCCCACTGCAGCTTCCTTGCATACTCCATTCATGCTAAGCACCCTGTAAAGGTGTACCATGTTTTATTTACTGTTTTTACCCTTGACAGTTAGGCACACAAATACATATCACTGTGTTATAACTGCTGAAGTATTCCATATAATAACATGCTATCCAGTCTGTAGCCTGGAAAAATAGGCCATACCATATAGCCTAGTGTACAGCAGCCCATTTGCCTAGGTGTGAGTACATTCTGTGGTATTCACACAACTACAAAACCACCTAAGGACACATTTTTCAGAATATATCCCCATCATTATGCAATACATAACTACATATATATACATATATTTATATGTGCCTAACTATATGTATATATTATTATATTACATATTATTATATTATATATACTATATAATAATATATAATACATATTATACATATTGCATATTATTATAATATATATTATATATATATATATAATGGAGAAGTTTACTGACCTCACAGCTTCACCTTTTTTATTATTATAAGGTTTCATTTTGTCATGATCCTCTGTCTCAGCCTCTGGAATAGCTGGGACAATGAGCACATGTCACCATGCCTGGCTTTTAGGATGGTCCAGGAATCAAACCTGGACCTCCAAAGTAGCCTTGGCTTGCTGGTAAGCAGCATCAACCACTGTCAGGCCTGTGTTTGAGTGCATTCTGTTGCTATTAACAGAATTACTGGAGTCTGGGTAATCTATAAATACAGTGCTTATTCAGCTCGCAGTTTGGAAGTCCTCAGACAGGAGCTACACCTGGTGAGATCTTCTAGCTGATGGGTCATACGGTGGAGGGCAGGAGCTTGAGCAGAGCAGAGCATGTATCTGTGACCATGTGTCTCTGTCTCATTCTCTCTCCTTATAAACTCATTAGGACTCAATCATGCAGACCTCGCTCTGATCTGAATCTCTCCCCAAAGGCCCCACCTTTCAATACCATAGCCAGATTACACCTCCTTTTAATAACTTCACAATATCATCACATTTCAACACCTCAACTTTTGGAGACACATTCAAACCACAGCTGCCTGCAACTCCACTCCTACAAACATACCCAGAGAAAATACCCCAGGCCAGGCACAATGGCGTTAGGTAGTAGGATGTTCTCCGCACAATTATCTCTGACCAGAAACCACTTGTTTGACAGCAAGGCATAGATTTCGTGAATTCTGGCATAAACGTGATGAAATACTACTCAGTGACAATGAAGTAGAAGAGCAATCACCAGAAAGACAGTTTAAGCCAGTGTGTTCAACATACCTTTTGTAAATAACAGCATTACATACAACACACATATTGGAAAGATCTATGCCAGAATATCGACGATTCCTTGTGCTCTTTGTGTTTTCTAATTTTTCCAAAATGTGTTCCTTTTATAATTGGTAAAAAATAATATATTTTAAATGCTACTTCAAGTCACTTCGGTAGGCAGCAAAAAAAAATGTGACTTACAAACAGGTAAACAGAGATTTTGAGGGAAGATGACTCCAACTGTATACTTACCTGCAGTCCTCTATTCACCTAGACTCCTTAAGACCATGAAGTTTAATTGCATTCTTAATGTTCCATTGTATTAAAATGAAGGAAAATGGTAGCTCTAAATGTTGATATTACATATATTCATAGGTGCATTCACCTTTACCCGTGCACACACACCCACTTAAGTAAACTCTCTGTCTATTCAAATTCAGGAACGAGCTATTCTGTCAAGTTCTGGGTCATCTTGCAAACCAGAGATTAGGGGGTGGGGTGGGGGGAGAGGAGATAGAGCTTCTTGGACCATTTCCCTGGTTTACATAACCAAGAGGTGAGTGTTGGGAGGAGTGAAGAGAGAAAAAGAGAGCGGAATGTCACAAAGTGTCCTATGCATGCGCTTAGAAAAAATGGCACAACAGCTACAACAACGTGGATCTTTATGCATATATCATTGTAATCAGAACAATTCTTCAGAACAACAAGAGAGACAAATAAGAGGAATACAGTGTTCCAAACAGTTACAGCCTACAGGTTGACATTACAAACTAGGTTTAGTTCATCTGGAGGCTTTTGTAAGAGGACTGAGGAGCAGAGACATTGGAATGAATCCACTCCCAGCAAAAGTGCTGAGAGAGCACAGACATATCTAAAAATAAAGAAATCGCTACACGTTAAGTACTTCTGGTGTTTGCATACCGTGTCCAATACATAGGGAAGACAGTGAGTCCAGACTGGTCTTTGTACATGCTGTGTGGTGGAGGCTACTGCAGACATCTCTATTTTCTAAAGTAGGCAAGCTCATAAATCGACCAATTCACATTGTGATTACCTGGTGTAATGCATGCACGTTATTGATACAGAAAGTGCGTTAACGAGAATCTGTGGGATGTAAAAAATTCTGACAAGGTCATTACCTCAAAGACTATTATCATTTTAGTTATTCATTTATTCAATGATTCTTATCCCAAACCCTGTGCCATCTCATCCACTCCCTTCTCAGGATGACCCACCTCAGGAAATGGGTGAGAAGAGATGCTAACAGGTGGACCCAACACGTGTGGTTAAGACTAAGAAAGATGGCTGACCACAATGGCACAACCCTACAGACTTGCAGCAAGCAGCCTGGGCCTCGCTATCCACCTTTGAGAGCCCAGATCCTCAGGAAGCTGGTAAGCTGATTTGAGAGAGAAAAGAAGAATTCTATATTCCAGTCAGACATCCCTCAAGAGGAACATGACTCCTCTAACTCATTTGGGATGGGAGAGAAGAAAAGAAAAGGAGGTGGAATTGTTCTTATCTGTCAAGTCTAGCAGATGGAAGAAAATGATGTGATGGCTTAACTTGGAAACGTAGTGGGTCTCATTCCCTGGGGGTGGAAAGCAGAACAAGCCAATTCTCCATCCACATCCTTCCCAAGATGTAGGGTGTGGGTATGGCTGCTTCTTAAGAAGCTGCATGCTGACTTCGGATGGCACAGAATCCAAGACTCAAACTGCAATAACTTATTAGTCATATTCTCCATTTTCAGTTCCTCTGGGGGTAAAAATACCACAAAGGGGATAAAATGGCTTTCTCACTATTTATGTCATTCTGGTGTTTTTTGTTCAAGGAAGCCCACGCAACCACATACTCCATCTTATTATAAAAATTAATACCTCTCATAGTAAAAGCCTCTCTAAAGCTATAGCTTTGGCTTCATGATTAGCAATCCAATTAGCTCAAATTAATATTGACTACATCAACAATATCCTTTCAAGCATCACCAAAGGTCTTCCTGAGAAGAAAATGAGGATGCTGAATCTATTCTTCTGCTGATGGAGAGGAA